TCATATAGTAATTATTTAGTCCCCAACCTATATATTTGTAAGAATCTTTCCCACTTCTCAAATTTGTAGGAAGTTCGTCTTTACTAATCACATTTCATCCACTTGATCGTTAAAAGGCCCGTGATAATCTTCTGCCATGTTATTTATTTGCACTTGTAGCAAATCGAGTTGTTTTTATATAAATAATTATACATTTTGTGTTATATACGGAAATCTCCTCAATGCTGTGGGAAAAAAAAGGCGTTGTTTATCCCTAACCTTGACAAATTTCCAATGAAAACACATGAAATTTCCATTTGTTTTTATCCCTAACCTTGCTCCTGGGAAGTCAAAATTGACCATAAATTTCTTTTCGTATCAAATCACTCAAATCTCCCGTGGTTCTACATATGTTTATACCCATCTTGACTTGCACCAAAATTTAATTTGAATTTTCCGTCAAGATTACAAATGAAGGAAAATTTTGACTAATGAACCATGCTATATGTACACTCTTGTATACATATTTTTTTACACTTTGTCACATGACACCATGGGTATGTACAATTTGTGTATTTCTAACTTTTTGACAAATCTCCAATGAAAACACATGAAATTTCCATTTGTTTTTATCCCTAACCTTGCTCCTGGGAAGTCAAAATTGACCATAAATTTCTTTTCGTATCAAATCACTCAAATCTCCCGTGGTTCTACATATGTTTATACCCATCTTGACTTGCACCAAAATTTCATGTGAATTTTCCATCAAGATTACAAATGAAGGAAAATTTTCGACATTTCCCCACCTATTTCTGATAACTTATGGACACGTCAGGCCACAGAAGTCTTCACAGAGCTATGCTCCTAGAGTGTTCGGTTTCAAGGTCCACAAGCCATGATGATCAAGTCATGAGAAGCCATTCAGGTGTGAAGTTAAACGTTGTTGCTTTCTTGGAACTTCTCTTACCAGCTTGTCCGGTATTTTTTAGAGTAAAGCTGTTGGCGGTCAAACCATTTGCCAATCCCCGCAGGACATTACTTTTAGGAAAATGCTAAACGACCCGCGT